TTGTTGTTGTTGTTGTTGTTAAGTTGCTGTCCAGTTGGTTCTGACTCATAGTGATCCTGTGTAGGGTTTCTGAGGAACGATTGGTGGATTTGAACCGCTGACCTGGCGGTTCAGACTGACCTTGCAGTCCAGCACATTACCGGGCAGCACCACATCAGGACTCCAGTTACATCTGAGATGCCTACTTACAAGCTTTTAAGATCCCAGTCGCTACTTACCAAAGTAGGATGTAGAAAGAACATTGTCTTTTTGGAATATGTTAATTGCGTTGCATCCTAATTAAAGGTAAGGTAATAATTGATATTGACTTTCAACAATTGATATTGACTTTCAACAATTGACTTTTTTTTTTTTTTTAATCTATGTATAGGTATCAGTATTATTTGCAGTTGAAGAAAGATATTTTGGAAGGAAACATTCCTTGCTCGTTAGAACAAGCAATTCAGCTAGCAGGCTTAGCTGTTCAAGGTAAATAAAGATAATAATATAATCCTTCTGTAAGTTTAGAATGTGTTTTAACAAAAACGGCAAGGAATTCTTAAAGTACTTGACTTTCCATTTCACATCTTTAGGTGTTGTTGTTAAGTGTCGTTGAATCGTTTTAGACTCATAGTGAACCCTTTAAAGGGTTTCCAAGGAGTGACTGGTGGGGTTGAACCGCTGACTTCTCGGTGAGCTGTCCAGTGCTTATCCAGCACCACACCAGGACTAAGGGGCTTCCTTGTAGGAAAAACATGAGTTTTGGCTACCTCAATAAAAAGTGATATTTCTGGAAGGTTAACCATATAATCAGATACCTACAATGTTTGCTCCAATAATTAAGAAATCTATTTTAAAGTTTTTTTGTTTTTTTTTTTTTAATTTAATTGTGGAAAATATACCTATAACAAAACATTTGACATTTCAGTAATACTCACATGTGTAAGTTCAGTGTTCTATTATAATGTAGGTTCATTGTGTTCTGTTATCACTTGTCATTGTTTTTAAGTGCTTTTGAGTTGTTTCTGAATCATAGTGACTCTGAATAGGGTTCTCAGGGAGTGGCTTTGAACCGCTGACCTTGGTGAGTTCATACTGCTGAGCTTGGTGGCTAGCATTCCAGTGTTTATCCTACAGCACCACATGAGGACTCCCAAGTTACATGCCATCACCTTTAGCAGAAGCTCAGTGTCCACTAAATACTGAGTCCTCCTTTCCTCCTGCTTCCTGCTCGCCCCAGTAAACACTAAGGACTTTTGGTTTCTATTCCTGAAAACAAAAGAATACTTATTTTGTTGTTGTTGAGAATATATTCAGCAAACCATACACCAATTGACCAATTTCTCCATGTACAAACAGCTCAGTGACACTGATGACATTCTTTGAGGTGGGCAACCATCTGCGCCCACCTTTTCTGAGTTGTTCCTCCCTCGGTAGATAGGCTTGCTGCCCTCTAAGGTTCCTAACTAATCTTTTGCTTTAAAACAATTTTTTTTTTTATTGTGAATTGAGCTATAGTTTACATGGGAGAACATCTGCCCATCAGCCTTTCACTCATCCCGTCGTACTTTGTCTCATTGCAATGATTACAGTCCCCTCCATGCAAAAGCATTTGCTTCCATTCCCTCTGTGGGTTTTTTATTTTTTGGATGTACACCGAAGCACTCAGGAATATATAACCATTCAAACAACTGAAGGGCATACCCTGCAAGCTTGCCCCTCCCGGCCGCAGAAACCCTCTCTCCCTCCCTGAGTCTGGAATCCCCAGCTGCTCCATCTCTCCATGTCATCATCTCTGCCTCCATCTGTGGCATCCCTGCTCTCTGGATAGGGTCCCACACTCCACTCTTCTCCCTTGATGGTCTCAGGGTCCTCCACTCCTGGACTGTAAGATCATCCACTCCCCTCCTTTTGTTACAAAACGTCTACCTTTACATTTGCAACACTCACAGTCAGTCCTGATATCAATTATTCACTATTGAGCCACAAAAGTCTTATCCCCATCACCTTTCACCAACCCCGTCTAGACAGGTTGGAAACCACTCAGTGGAGATTTTACCTTCCCCTGCACCTGCTGGAACTAGGCTCCCTCTTGAAAAGACTTGTAAACCAGTCACTTTGTGCCTTTGTAGCCTCCCGATCCCCCTCACCCCATTTTGGGTAGCCAGTGCCTAAGTTGCCCATCTCTGTCAACTCTGTGTACCGAGGGGGTGGGAATGATGCTTGCTGTAAAGATTCGTTCCCGCTTTTAAGCTACTACATAAGTATAGGTAAGGTTCATCAAATTGTAGCGGATTGTACTTTTTTCCCTTTTCTTTCTTCCTTTGGTTGAGTGAGTTCTGATCACCCAGCCATTGAAGCTTTCCCATTGCTTTTGTCAGTTTAATTCCATATTGTTGTTGCTGTTAAGTGCAGTCGAGTCGAATCCGACCCATAGTGACCCTGTGTAGGCTTTCCAAGGAGCAGCTGGTAAGCTTGAACCACTGACTTTCAATGGTTCAATTCCATATCGTTGTTGTGAAGTGCCGTCGAGTCGATTCCGACCCATAGCGACCCTATATAGGGTTTCCGAGGAACAGATGGTAAGCTTGAACCACCGACCTTGCAGTTCAAACGGCTTTGCAGTCTGATGCATTAACCCACAGCGCCACACCAGGACTCCAATTCCATATTAGATAGATCGTAAAAGAGCACAAAGCTCAAGGCAGACACTCTTTGCCAGTGAAGCTAAACTATTGTTTGCTTTTAAGAAGACGTCAGAGGATATTTTTGGCTTAAAGATGACCTTAGGGCAGCAGTTTCAGAAGTCCATCTAGCCTCCATGGCTGTAGAGATGGTCTGTGGACACTTCTTGCATTTTAAAACATCTTAAAGATGTTCAATATTGCATGTTCATCTTGATCAAGTACTTAATCTGCTATTGGCAAATACGTTAGGAAGAAAGCTCTTCCATCACTGAACAAGGTAGTGCTCACTTATATTTAAAGTACACTTCATTATGATGGGTTTCTAAGTAGTTGTCTGAGATTTTAGAGCATCTGCAGTGGGAAGAGATGAAAACTTTGCTTTTCAGATTTTTGAATCTCCTCACTTGCTTCATCTGCATGTATTAGGCATATATGTGTGTAAACGTTCTAGAACCTTGTCTCATAAAATAACTAGTGTTGAACCTTGGGAATTGAGGTTTAATCAGAAACATTAATAAAATTCCTCCAAATAGTAGCAGGCCCGGAGACACATATCTTGGAGTCCTGGTGTGGCGCTGTAGGCTAATGGGCCAGACTGCAAAGCTGTTTAAATTGCAAGGTTTGAGGTTCAAGCTTACCAGCTGCTCCTAGGAAACCCAGTACAGGATCTCTGTTGGTCGGAACCAACCTGATGGCACTTAAAAACAACCAAGTGTCATCTTTAGCTTTACAAGTTAGTTCTTCATAAACTTTTAGCTAAACTGCCCATTTAAAAAAATTTTTTTTAACACTTTCAAATTTCAAAGCAAATCTATCTTGCTATAACTTACTATAATGATCTAACTGCATAGTCACTACCTATACTAACCCCTAAAATGAAGTCCATATGGTAGATTTGCCAGTTCGTAAGTAAGCACCAGGAGTCCTGGTATGGTGCTGGAGGATAAGCACTGGACTACTCACCACAAGGTTGATGGTTCAAACCCACTTGATGCTCCTCAGAAACCCTGTACAGGGTCCCTGTGTTTCAGAACTGACTTAATGGCACTGAACTACAGGTAAGCGTAGTGTGGTTACAGGATGGTGTGCTGGTTAAATGTTGTGTTGATTCTGATGCACAGAGGAGGACTGCTCTGTAGGCTCCCTAGGTTACAATTTTTGTGGAAGCCGATCTCTAGGGTGGGTTTGAACTTCCAGCCTTCTGTTAGCAACTGGGTGCTTAACTATTGCGACACCAGGGCTCCTTGATTACAGTGTAGGTTTTGTTCTTCAGTTGTTGGAGAACAGTATTGTTGAAGATGAGAACATATTATACGTCATTGTAACTTGTTTGCTTTTTTCCCCACTTTGGTCATAAGCATTTTTTTTCAAGTCTAGACACATGATCTATCAAATGAATGTTTTGAAAAGATACTTTAAATATACAAACTTTGTAACTGTGCTAACACAGATTTGACTTCCTATATTACGTGTATGGAATTTCGCTTTGTGTGCTTTACTGTACAAATGAAATAGGATTGACATGGGAATATTTGTTATCTTTTTCAGCTGATTTTGGGGACTTTGATCAGTATGAATCCCAGGATTTCCTTCAGAAATTTGCCTTGTTTCCTGTGGTAAGACTGCCTTCTACGTTGGGCCTTTTTAAAACCTGTTTATTCCCATGCCCTTAATAATCTCTGAATGAAGTTTATATGGTAGCTCTACTAGGCATACTCGCCCTCTTCTGAGCAGCTCAGCTATGAATGCTTTCCCTGTTGTTGTCTTCTTGGTGCCTCCCTGTGAACTCATGAAGGGCCTGTAAGTTAGTTCTGTATTTGATTGTGGGTCTAAAGTTAGAGATTAGCTGTAGCTTTGGATGAAGCTGATGGTCCTTTTAACTGAAGACCCGAAACCTGAGAATGAGTTTGGTTCCTTATCAGTAATGAAAAGGATTCAGAGATCAGAAAACACGTACGTGCCTTCTACTCTTTAAAATCACTGTTGGTGGAGTTGATATTGAAAACTCTGTACCAAAACGACAGCAGTGCTAGATACCATGGCTGTCAGAAGAACAAACGAACTGTTTTGGGGGAAGTATAGCTGGAATGCTCCTTAGAAGTGAGGATGGTGAGACGTCACCTCCACCTCACATACGTTGGACATGTTCTCAGAAGCGGGGAGTGGTCTCTGGAGAAGGCCATCATGCTTGGTAAAGCAGTGGTTAGGTGCCATCGCGCTGCAGGGTCAGTAAAACAAAGGAAGACCCTCGAAGAGATGGATGGGCACAGTGGCTGCAGAAATGGGCTCAAACATAGTATTGATTGTGAAGATGGTGCAGGGCCAGACAGTGCATGGGGTTGTGCATGGGGCGTCGACTTCAGAGCACTAATAAAACACACAAGGTCCTCTGCTGAGTGCCTCCCCCGTGAGGAGGCAGAGAATGACCAGCGTGCTTCAGAGGTGATCAACCCAAATCAACTCAGCTGAAACTTTTCCTGGAATGAATTGAGAAGCTAGCATAAGCTTTTTTGATTCCTGAGAAGCCACTAAATTCTTTAAGCTCTTGAATCTTGATTACATACCCAAGCAAAACTACTACATTATTAAGCCTGTTCGTGTTTTCGCCAGACAGTGACAAAAGTTAGAAATAATCAGTAGTAGTGGTGATTCCTAAGGAATGTGGTTAATTTGTTTACATACTTAATGCTGTGTGTTTTGTTCAGGGGTGGTTACAAGATGAAAAAGTATTGGAAGAAGCAACCCAAAAGGTGGCCTTACTACATCAGAAATACAGGTAAAACTCAGAAAAAAGGGATGGAAACAGTGTAAGACTCACTCCTGTGAATTCCTTACACCCATGGTCACAATGCCATCGAGGTCTGTTTTGTTGCCATTGCTAGTCTAGTTATCACTGCCACTGTGGCTGCTGCTACTCTGAGTAGCCAGCGTTTATGTAGCAGGGAATATGCCAAGTGTGATTCTAAGTACGCACCTATATAAACTCATTTCACTGCCTGTGTTTCACCAATGAGAAAACTGGGAACGTTGAAAGCAGCAAGTTATTGAAGGGCGGGTACCAATTCTTTTCCCTTTGAATTGGAGGCTTTGTGGTAACCTGACCCTCTGTAGGTCAGTGCAAAATTAAGGGGATTTGTTTTCTTGTAAGATGAGAGCAGGCACAAGTTATTTCTCTTTGCACCCCTTTGGCGGCTGTGTCTGTGACCTCTGGGGAGACTCAGAGCAGCAGAGCTGCTTGCTATGATGGTGCTCACACGGACTTGTGCATGCGGGCAGATACTGTCTTGGATGGAAACTTCATAAGTTGTCTTTAAGAAAAACTTTCCCTTAAAGCTACATTGAAATCTAAACTGAATAGCCACATACATTCTTCTCTGTTCTCCCCTCGTGTGTGTGTGTTGTGTGTGTGTGTGTGTGTGTGTGTTTGTAACCAAATACCTATAACTACTCCCTCAGTATTAATTCCAGCTCACAGATGGGAAAACCAAAGCTCAAAAGGACTAGATAGCTTGCCCATGGCTACCCACTCAGTAAGTGAGAGATGTGGGCTATGAGTTCACATCTCTGAAATTATTATGGGTTTATTCATTCTCTTCCCTTAAAAATAATGTTTTGCTTCTAACTTCTTCCCACTCACATCCTCTGAGCCATACAGTTGCTTACAAAAGACTGTTGTTTTGTATTGCTATAACAACTCCAATTGTGCAACGGCTCCATTGGGGTTTTCAGAGTTGTGACCTTGTGAACACAGAGCCTCCAGGTCTGCCTTCCTAGGTGCCTCTGGGTGCATTTGAACTGCCAGCCTTTCAGCTAGTAGTTGAGCACATAACCGTTTACACCACCCAGTGAGCTCTTACAAAAGATGAATTTTCTTCAGATACCTCTTTCCTCTTATCTCTCCTCAAAGGCTCAGGACTGTTTTCTTGTTCTGCACTCGTCTGAGTTCCTTACGCTGAATTCAAACGAAAGACCTCTCACAAGGTGGTGAAGTCTCCCCTTTCCAGCTTTACCTTCTGATGTCCCAAATGGTCCCTGAGGCACAGATCGTCCCCTTCCATCATTTCCTTAAAAGCAGTCCCATAGTGTGATTGCAGCAGAGTGCTGGATGCTGTGGGCCTACAGGCTATAGAGTAAGTGTCTGTCTTTAAGGCATCTATACCCTACCTCTTGATCCAAGAGACACATGGGACAAACGATCACAATAGCAGTTAGAACATATTCGTTGTGTTATTTGCTGCATTGTAGTACGAGGGCAGCAGGTAGAGTAAGCACAGACGGTGGGGTTGCTGCACAGAGCAGGGCATCCGATTTCACTAGGGAGAAATTACAGAAGGTACTGAGAAATGGTACAGGGGCTGAGTCAGGTTGTCAAGGGTTGACTGGGGACACGGCTGACAGGTCCATCTGGACAGGGATGTAAGGGAACACTGTGTTTTCAAAACAGTGCAAAGCGTGTGTGTGTTTGTGTGTGTATGTGTTGCATTGGGAGCATGTGACTGGAGAGGCAGGTCCTCATGTGATTGGTCACATCTTTACCCTTAACTGATTTTCTCCCTGACCCTCAATTCCTCTCTCACCCAAGCTAAAAGTCATCTCCATCCTCTGACAACCTTGAACCTGTATACCCTGTACTTAGCATCCAGTGTATGATGCCTAGTGATGCCTAATATTTTAGAGCAGGGTTGTTGGTGGTTATGTGCCGTGGAGTTGGTTCCAACTCATAGCGACCCAGCACAGGGTTTCTGAGGCTGTAAATCTTTACGGGAGCAGAAAGCCTCAACTTTCTTCTGCAGAACCGCTGGTAGTTTCGAACTGCTGACCGTGAGGTTAGTAGCCCGACTCATAACCACTACGCTACCAGAGCTCCTTCTGCCAACATTTATAACATCATTCATGGGCCATACAAAATTTTCAACATAAAAATCTGTCTGCTATATTTGGTCAGACATTAGTTAACTCACCACTAATGCGATGGTTGGAACTGTGGTGGCCTTGGTGGGACCAGACCAAATGATTTCGTGGGTGTTAATACAGCCCACAGGCCCGATGTGCCTGACCCCTGTTTTAGATAATTGGTAGTTACTAGGTGGTATAGAAAAGAAAAAAAAAAAAATCTGTCTTTCCCATGAAGAGGGGTTTTTCGGATATTGTTTATTCCTACGTGCTGCCCCCCCTACCTGAAGTACAAAGGAGTAAGGTTTGAGACAACTAACCCTCAACATTCAGCACAGCACTTTGTATGTAGTGGGTGTTCAGTTGATAGATGGATTAGGCGGCTGACTACATGCATATGCTGAGAAGTTTGATGTCTCTATCATCTTTATCATATTTTATGCCAAGTGGATAGGTAAGTTTTGAGAAAAGCTTTGTTTTATTTTTTCATCTTGTGAACAGTCTCTCTCTCTCCCTGACCTCTTTTGGATTGTAGAGGGCTCGCAGCTCCTGATGCTGAAATGCTGTACATGCAGGAGGTGGAGAGAATGGACGGGTACGGAGAAGACAGCTACCCTGCCAAGGTGAGCTTGGTGCCGAGGCTGCGCCGTCTGATGGGGAAGCTCAAGAAGACGGCCGAGTCTGACGGTGTAAAATCTGAGTGCTGAAGACCATCGTTTTGCACTTTGAGTTCTAAAGCCTGCTAAGAATTTGCAGTTCCACCCTAGATAATACTGACTCGGCATCCATGCTTCAATCTACAGGAATTCTGTAAAAATCACTTGGGGATCTTGTTAAGAAAAGTGTGTCTGAGTAGAATAGTCAATTCTCAAGGCTGAACTGGAACAAACCAGTTAGAAGCCTGCTAGAAACTGTACTTAAGAGCCCCAACACTTTCTGCTTTCACACATTTAAGTTTTTATGAAATGATGGCACGTTTCTGCCAGTCAGGATGTTTTCCTTCATGACAGTTACTGTGTGTGACTGTAGGCTTCCAGAACATTCTGTATCTGGGAGACAAGTTCGTGAGCCAGAGGTGGTGTGGTTTCATGCATCAGCTTCAGGATGGTTTCTTTTTCTACTGTCCTCTTAGGATAGCCAAGGAAGTGACCTCTCCATCTGCGCATGCCTCGAGGGCATCTTCCTGAAGCACAAGAACGGGAGGCCACCGGTGATGTTCAGGTATATTTCTACATCTTTCTTTAGACAGGCATTTTCTGTGGCTCTTGTTGGTGGCTTTTTTTTTCTTTTTAAAGTCCTTATGTTAGTCAAATTGCTCACTAGTCTCTCCCAGGCTTTCATTAGAAAAGGGAAGTATCCTGTCCTAAAAGAAAATAACCACATGAATGTAGCAATTTTTTTTTCTTAAAGTTTTTATTGCGAATTGAGTGATAGTTTATATTGGAGAGCATCAGCTTTACATGCATCCTTTCATATTTCATTTCATTGCAATGATTACAATCCCCTCCATGCGTCATCATTCAACAGCATTTGCTTCCAATTCCTCTGGGGTTTTTTTTTGTTGTTGTTGTTGTTTGTTTTGAATGTACACTGAAGCACTCAGGAATATATAACCATTCAAACAACCAAAGGGTATACCCTGCACGCCAGCCCCCCAAGCAGCCAGCACATAGCTCCTCTCCCTCCGTGAGTCCAGAGACCCCAGCTGCTCCATCTCTCCATGTCATCATCTCTGCCTCCATCTTTGGCATCCCTGTTTCTCTGGATAGGGTCCGGCACTTGGCTCTTCTCCCTTGATGGTCCCAGGGTCCTCTGCTCCTGGACTGTGAGATCAACCACTACCCTACTTTTGTTACAAAACATCTTTACATTTGCAACACTTACAGTCAGTCCTGATATCAGCTATTCACTATTGAACCACAAGAGTCTTACCCCATCTCCTTTCACCAGTCCTGTCCAGACAGGTTGGAAACCATTCAGTGGAGAGTCTACCTTCCCCCTCACCCTCTGAAACTAAGCTCCCTCTTGAAAACTTGAAAGCCATTCACTTTGTGCCTTTGTAGACCCCCACCCCCCTCCATTTTGGGTGGCCAATGTCTAAGTTGCCCATCCCTGTCAACTCTGTGTACAGAGGGGGTGGGAATGATCCTTGCTGTAAAGATTTGTTCTCTCTTTTAAGCTACTAGATCCATAAGTATAGGTCAAGTTCATCAAATTGTAGCAGGATTATGCTTTTTTTCTCTCTTCTTTCTTTCTCTAGTTGGGTTCTGATCATCCAGCCATTGAAGCCAGGTTAAATGGGTACTATCTGCAAAAATGGGCATTCTTGTGCATCTCCCCTCACTGCATATCAGCTGGACACTTCACTCTCTGCTCTAGACCTCTGTGACTTTGTCCCTGTCCCTGGGTTCAGGAGTTCCCAGGTCTTGCTATACTGCTGGCCAATCAGGTCGCGATCCATGTTGACAGGAGTCTATTGAATGTGGTTGGACTTAGCTCACAGCTTCATTGCTGTTTTCCCCCCATTTCCAAATATTGGTAGACCAACATGGTCACCAGCAAGATTACATTCCCGCTCTTGTATTCCCTTTGAGTTTCAGTTTTGGAAGAGGGTTTGCCCTGAGGGGACCTGACCACTTGCCTTGATGGCTCACCAGCGACCAACTTGCTTGTTTTTGAAATAGTCAGTCAGACTGCCATTACTCTTTTTGATTTTTCCTGCTGGTCTTTCTTTCAAGAAGTAAGTATCTTCTGTTCCTCTAGCTGCTCCAGGCTGGTCTGCTTGTCTTTTCAAGTGGAAATTTCCCACCTGAGAAGGTTCTGGATGCTGTTCAGGATTCCACCTATGGTCTTAGGCAATGCAAGGCTCCGCAGGAAGTTCTAGCCCCATTTTAGGTATTCCAATCTGTTATAGGCTGAAGATGGACTTACAAGCTTTCTGTGGTCATGTTTCTGGCTATTCCTTTCTCTCCCTCTCAAGTGTCTATTTTACAATGGTAGGCAAGGGAAACCAAGATTCATAAGACAGTCAAGCATCTTAACATTATTTCCCCTCATTTTAACATATAATCCCTGTATCCCAGAGTCCTGTTGTTCCAAGGTGGAGCATACCTCATCATTTACCTCTGTCCCATTTAGCCCATGCAAACCTGCCTAACTGTTCTCCCATCTGCCTTGCTCTTCTATTCTCCTCCCTCTTCTTGTGTATTGCCTACCCCCTCACAACACCCATACTATCCTATGTCTATTTCCTACCTTGTGCTTCACCTTCCCCTCCTTCCCCTCACCCCACTCCCTGGTAACCAGCAAAAAATTTTTATTTTTTATTTAACCTTTTAGTGTGTGTACTTTTTCTTAAGCTTTTACAATAATGGTCCTATGCAGTATTTCTCCTTTTGTGACTGACTGATTTCACTCAGCATAATGTCCTCAAGGTTCATCCATATTATGAGATGGCTTGCAGCTTCCTTGGTATTCTTCAAGATAGCATAATAGTCCATTGTGTGTATGTGCCACAGTTCGTTTACCCATTCTTCCATTGATGGGCAGTTAGGCTGTCTCCATCTTTTTGCTATTATAAATAGTGCTGCTATGAATATCGGTGTGCATATATCTACTTATGATGTGGATCGTATTTCTTGTGGATAAATACTTGACTTTTTATAATACTGGTCTCATACAACATTTGTCATAGCCATACTTTGTATAATTTACTTTCTTCATGGACTATTTATGAAATATTTAAAAAGTGTGTCCCTTCTCTTGCCATTAGGAACCCTGGTGATGCAGTAGTTAAGGCATCTGGAGAACCCACCAACCACTCCCCAGGAAATAGATAGAGCAGTCTGCTTCCTTAAAGATCAGTGTTGGAAACCCACTGGAGCAGTTCTACTGTGTCCCATAGGGTCGCTATGAGTTGGAATCAATGTGATGGTATGGGTCTGGTTTGGGGTTCTTTTGCCATACGGCGGTCATCATTTGTTTTGGTGTGAATTTTACATTTGAGCTCTGGTTTCCTTTGCTCTTTGTGCAGTGGGTTGAGTGTTGGGGTGTTAACCATGAGATTGGTGGTTCAAAACCTCTAGCTGCTTCTTGGGAGAAAGATGAGGTTGTTTGGTCCAATACAGATTTATAGTGTCAGAAGCACTAAGGGTCAATTCTGCTGCTTTGTGCTCTGAGTCAGAATCGACTTGACTCAGTGGATTTTGTTAGGAAAAATCCAGGCCTTTCATTTGACTCTACTTATGTGCCCAAATTCCTACAATACTAATATCTAAGAACATTTAGAGTACTGGTATGGTACTGTAGGATAAGCACTAGACTGCAAGGTTGTTTTGAACTTCAAGGTTGATGGTTCAAACACACCAACCCCTCCTTGGAAACCCTATATGGGGTTGATATATGTAGAAACCAACACTTAACAACAATAACAAAGAACATTATAATCATTTACTTAAATGTGGAATTTTAAACTTTAATTATTATTATAGTATAACAACAGTTGTGAGGGTAGTACAGGACTGGGCAGTATTTTATTCTGTTGTGCCTTAGGGTCACTATGAGTCGAAGCCAACTCCATGGCACCTGACAACTCACAGCATTCACTGAAAGAAATACTCGACTGTATATAGTGAGAAAAGACTGAAAGACTAACTCTGTATGATTTAAATTTCCTTCATAATATTAGTCTCTTCTCCTATTTATATCTTGTAAGTAGTAAATTGATCATTTCTTGCTGTTTAATTCCTTGAAACCCATCTTCTAGAAACCTTGAAGTGTCATTTTATAGAAATAGTGGCCGTTTTCCTCTGAGATTCAACCACTCTATGTGTGTCCTGTGTCTTAACTGATGTCCAGTAGAACCTAATGCAAGTCTGACATTTTCATAGTGGGAACTGACACCAACCCCACTGCCATAGAGTCAATTCTGAATCATAGTGACCCTGGATGGTTTCCAAGACTGTGCATTCATAGGGGAGCAGGAATCCTCGTCTTTCACCTGAGGAGTGACTGGTGGGATTGAACTGCCAGCCTTACAGTTAGCCGTGCAGTGCTGATCCGTCAGCGCCAGCAGAACTTTTTGTAGTGGAAGCACTGTAAATAGTGACTGACTGAATACAAGGCCATGGCCGCCAGCTAAGGCAAATGATGAGGATCAATGGTCTTGGCAGCTCCTCCCTCATTTAGAACACAAGCATTAACTTTTCTTAATTTTTTTT